ACATATATGTATGTAATGCAACAATTATGGTAATTGTTTAAAATTAACTTAATGTTTACAGCGGCAAGACTTCTAGAAGGGAAATTGGATTTGGTGAGCGGTAACATAGGTGCTGGGATGGATTATATGGAAAGTCCAGTGAGTGACGGCACAATTGAAGAGAACTTTGAGGAAGCTTTGGTAGATGCTCCAGTTATTGAATCTGGTGTGTGACCTTTTACCTTCTGTTAGTAGCCAGTAAATGTCATGGCATTCTCGGGGCATAGCAGGTGAATTATGTGTAGAACTTTGTATAGCTTGTTTTTACATTGCATGGCGTAAGGATGAAAAAGGAAAGGGAATGTGACAGTTGTTTTGCTTTTTTTTTAATCCATTTTGCAACAATAACATTATGTACAATCGTAACATTTGAAGTGAGTAAATCTTTTGATGTGAAATATATCTTTTTTTTCCTAATAAAATAAGATTGCTCCGAGGATTCAAATTGTTCTTGCTAAATAAAATTTTTAGTTCATACAAATTTGTTGCGAGAGCACGCTTATGAAATGAATAACCTGGTCACAACAAATCTGTCTGTTTTAACGAATAGCGGACGATCTGGCTGCTTTAGATGGAGAGCTCGCCGATGAAGAAGATTATCTTGACATATCCAGACATGGTATCGTAGAGGTAGTCGGTGACGATAGTGCCGGTCGTAAAATAATTGTCGTGTCAGCTTGCAAATTGCCCCCTATTGGAAAAGAGACCTTTAATCACGCTAAACTCCTGAGGTGAGTTTGCGATATATCTATGTCATAAAAATGACACACGAGACATTTATTCCAACACAATGTGTTCTTGCAATTGCCTGTAAATTATTTAAAAATCGCGAGTCATCCTACAGCATTTCCAACAGTTGTATGTGCCAAGTTTTTATCTATTTTCGTGGTACTATCTTTCCATTTTTTTTTTAAATAAAATAAAACAATAAACTTCTTTTCTATAGGTACCTTACTCATACTTTGGATATGTTCGTGGAACAAGATTATAGTCTCGTCTACTTTCATTATGGCCTTACATCGAAGAATAAGCCACCCTTATCTTGGTTGTGGCAAGCGTATAAGGCGTTTGATAGAAAATACAAGAAGAATCTCAAAGCTCTATATCTAGTACATCCGACTAATTTTATTAGGATTGTATGGCAAATATTTAAACCAGCTATTAGGTATATGTGAAACCTTTTCTTTTCTAAATGAAAGAGTTGGATACTGTTTTCTCGAGTACTTACATATATATTGCATAATTTGTTATATTGATCTTTACAGTGTAAAATTCGGACGGAAAATGATGTATGTTAATTATCTAGAAGAATTAGCACAATACGTTAATCTGGATCAACTAATTATACCACCTCAAGTGATAGAGTATGCAATTTAGTTATGCTATTATGCAAAATAATATTTTAGAATAAAATCTTGTCAAATTGCACGCAGATGTAGTTCACATGGGACAATTTTTTCAGACACAATGAACAGCTGATGATGAAAAATAAGAAAAATTTGCCGGCGAGTCCACCACAAAGCGCGGTAGTCACACCAGTTGGCACGACTCAGTTCAGTGCTAGTCTGCAATTCATAAAAGAAAATAATAATGGCGATTCGATACCACCGATTCTAAGACAGTGTGTAGAATTTCTCGATACACCTGACGGTACGATATTTCAACAAAAATAATCAGCTTCATCTTGTTATATTCCAATTGACAATTGTTTTATTGTTGTTTCAGCTCTAGAGACAGAAGGGATATTCAGAAGATCGGCAAACGTAGCAATAATCAAAGAACTTCAGAATCGTTGTAATCAAGGTTTACCCATTGATTTCCAAGGAGATCCGCATATCGCCGCGGTTTTACTTAAGACTTTTCTCCGTGAGCTAGACGAGCCTCTTATGACTTACGAATTGTACGACGAAATCACGCAATTCCAAAGTGAGTGTGTGTGTGTGTGTGTGTGTGTGTGTGTGTGTGCGCGCGCGCGCGCGCGCACACACACACACACACGCGCGCGCGCGCGCGCGCGCGCGTGTGTGTGTGTGTGTAATATTCCTTCCTTTTCTTCCAAGTATTACAGCATAAAGTATGTATTTTTTAAATCTTTTTTCTTTTTTTTTTTACTGTAGTATTATCAAAAGACGAACGTCCGCGTAAAGTTAAAATATTAATATTGGAGAAACTCCCTGAAGACAACTATCAAGTTCTTAAATACATCGTACAATTTTTATCGAGGGTACGTAACCAATATTCGCAGTCCCAATTTCCTACGAAAATCGATCTTTACATTCATCTGTATCTTTCTTGCTATTGATAGGTAATGGACCGATGCGACTTGAACAAGATGACTTCTAGTAATCTCGCGGTCGTATTTGGACCGAATTTAGTTAGAGCACCGCCAGCGCGTGGAATGTCCCTCTCTGCGATAGGACCCATCAATCAATTTATAGACTTTTTATTCACCTATCAAGATAAGATATTTATTATTTAAAAGCGAGAGCACCGAAGGCCTAATTGTAACATTCAATTAACTACAATTAACTACACGTCCACATTTTCATTTACCGAAATATTTTTATATTCTACGTGATAGAGAAAGAGAGGAGGATAGAAGGAAACATTCAATTGTTCATTTACACAATTGTGATTTTGCACAAGATTTTTTAATACGAATAGGTATAATAATTTTCGGACGAAAAAATAAAACGTTCGAATTGATGCCAGCTGTGCGATATTGGAACACCAGCTCCAAGAGACACGTCTGTATATTTAGAAAAAAATTATGACCAAATACCAAAGATACATGAGAACGTCACACAGTGAATATAATATGTAAGATTATCTAGAAATAATGTTTATCTATTTAATAACGCTTAAGAAAATATATAATATATTCGAGGATGAAAAAAAAAATATTGTACGGGATGCCTTCATTGGGATATTGAGAAATAAACCGTGATTTATCCTGATTTTTATTTAGATTAAAAAAAAAATCGCTTGATATTACTAAAACTTTCAAACAACGAATTAATTTCTTTTAGCATATTACATAAATTACACACGCATTTCATATATAATTTTTAAGATTTTAATTATTTTTATCTTATTATTTTCTTTTATTCAATTAAAAACTTTAAATTAAATTAATAATTGTTATCACATAGATTATAATTTTCGTTTTAATAGATTCACATTTGCATAATAATATCGTCTTTTATTATTTCTCTTCATTAAAATCGAAATTGTTAAAATTGTTCGAACGCATTGTGTTGTATTAATCATGTTAATTAAAGGTCTTGTAGAAACAAAATTTTCATAAAATGTTTTAATATACATTTTAAATCTACAATAGAAAAATTGCAACAAATCGTTTTAATATTTGGCATCCTTTGCATTTTTTGCAGAGAGTTTGTATTACAAAAATTAATGATTTAATAATAATTGTGGTCTAACGAATATAGTATATGTGATACTGTATTTAAGTAAACTCGAAAAGAGAGATAGATGTAATAAGAAAGATTTGTGCGCGCGCGCGAGTAAATTCTAGTGATTTCATAATAGTTTTTAATTATGATCTCAAAACATCATCTTGTTATTAGTTTCACTTGATGTTGTAACAAGAATTAAAAGAAATTAAGAAGAGAGAGAGAATTAAAAAAAAATAGAAAAATTTAACATGTATTAAATGCCAAGTATTGTATTATCTAAAGACTTGATAAGTTTATCCGTCGTCTAAGTGTAAGAATACGAGACTTGGCAATTTTTCGCATAGCAAAATAGATTTGTATATCTCCTCAAATAGTCCTGCCATTATAGGTAACTGGGATAATGAGCTTGGCAGTCTCAATCCGCTCTCTATCATAAAAAAAAGACTAACCCAGACCTATATAGAACTGATGTGACTCGATTGCATTCCTCGTTGTTGTCAATAGAACGTGTAATAAAGCGTGTTTATTTATAGGTCTTCAGTTTTGTGTATAATTCATAAGCAAAACTTAACTTTCGTGACGATGGGATCGAGGCGGATAAATGTTAAATGAAGCGTTTCTCTGTAACGTTATTACAAGAGTTACCATTTTATGTTCATAAAATAACTTACAGTAACAATAATTTAAATAACAACTCTCTTGTATCGCTAATTTATATAACTTGAGATGAATAAACATATTGCGTGTTACTTAATATATGATCCAAATCAATACAATAAAATTATCGACACTTAATATGTACAATAACCCAAACTATCATTTTGGATAAAAGCCGGAAGTCTTCTTTTATTCTCCCTTGAAAATGCCCTCGTCTCGCGACAAGACCGCGCTGTCTAATGATTAGCTAATTTTTAGTTAATCAGCTTGTAGCAATTTGTGGATTGCAAAGATTATATGTACTTATATCGAAAGATGGCATTGGAAAAACGGGACGATGATTCGAATGAAGTATTTACCTTTTTTTACCTTTTACAAAATTTTTGCAACTACATTAAGATTGAGAAAAACAACTCAAAACAACTAGATTAATATTTCAGACATTGTTTCTTCTTTATTATAAATGCGTGATTTAAGTAATAGAGAGAAATATATTGCACTCGTGCAATCGTATGTATTTATGAAAAAAAAAGTAGCATTTGGAATGACGATTCGTTGGAAAGAAGTGACATTGTTTATACATTGCTTTACGACTGCTTTGAGTGAGAAATTACTTGAAAAGATAGGTCTGATCGATAAGAGACAAATCTGTTTGAAAAAATGAAACTTATTCCACGAGGTTCGCAAATGACAATGAAAGACTGCAGCCATATAATGCGTGCAAATCTAAAGTCTTTATCAAAAATTTTAACAATTCATTTCTCTTCAACAAAATGATATAATACAAAATCTGTCTCGGAAAAATTTATGTGTCACAATAACTTGTACTGTATATATATATATATATATATATATATATACACACACACGCGCACGCGCATGCGTGTGTACGTATATGTATATACACACACAAGTATACAAGTATCTTTGCTATCCAAGAATTACCGCAACTAAAAATATACATATATGTATATAGGCATACATATGCACATTCATACATACGTAACCACTCTTGTCCTTGTGTATATACAAGATGAAGCATTTGTAATACGACAAACTACCATTTGCAAATAGTAATTTGTCATATCTAAGATGCGCCATCCTGTATATAATTAGTAAATTGCCGAAATTAGACCTTGTATCTGAAATTGAATGTAAATTGATTTTAAAGGTCTACGAAAAGCCGCCGTTATCGCCTCCACCGCCACTGCCACTGCCACCACTACCACCACTACTACCACCACCACCACCACTACAGCAGGAACTTCTACTCGGTTGAGTTTGTTCTGCCTCATCCTCGACCATTACGACATTGCGACGCGTACTATTGGTCCTCGTGAGCGTGGATTTTTGCTCAGCCTCATCTGCACGTTGCATCATACGTTGTGTCAAGTCTAGAAACATCTCTTCAATGTTCTGATTTAACTTTGCTGATGTATGAAAATGCATAGCTCCCACCTGTTTAGCATACCTAAGGAAAGAAGATTCATTGGTGGTCACGTGATAATAATGATAGTGATGATGATAATAGTGATGTTCACTTGATAATAATGTCATGTAAGAGGAGATTCATCAAACTTACTCTTCAGCTTCCTCTGTGGCAACGTTCCTATCCTTCTCCAGATCCACTTTATTACCTGCTATCACTAAACAAATTTCACTACCTAACATCTTCTTAAGCTCCTTCACCCAGTTTTTTACCTGACAACAAGCACAAAAAGTTGTTGAATTTCATTATATCATTGATACAAAAGTACTTTGATAAATATTTGTATATAGATAGATATTTGTAGTTGTACCTTTTGGAAAGTATCCTCATCCGTAATATCGTATACGAGAATGGCACCATTGGACATTCTGTAATAAATTGGTCCTAATGCGTGAAACTTTTCTTGCCCGGCGGTGTCCCATATCGCCAAGTTGACTCTTTTCCCATTAATATTCAATTTCTTATTCAGGAACGACGCCTGAAACATATACGAAGCAAACTCGAGATACCTTTCCGCGAGCGCTCAGCGCTCGAAGAGATTAGGGAAGAGCTAGGTTAAGGAAGAAATTGACTTCCCCAAATCCCAATCGCAATATTATATACGCCGGAAATTACAATACTTTTCTAATTCTCTTATTATTAATTAGCATATACTCGCTTTCTCTCTATGCAATTTGCAGAACTCGAATAAGAAAAAAAAATCTGCCGAGAGACTTGTGTACGCCGCGAAACAAATTTCGAGAAGTCCTTTTCAAAAGTAGGAGCATATGTACATATGTAGAAATTCGAGGATTAAAAAAAGAAGAAGAGAGGCTGGAAAAGCAAGTTTCACAGAAGGAGGACTCACCTGTAGCGTGGTGATATGCTTGTCATTGAACTTGTCCTCGACATATCGTAGAGCGACCGAAGTCTTGCCGACACATCCCTCGCCGAGCAAAACCACTTTAAAGTTATATCCAGTACCAACTACCGGACTGGCCATAATAATGTCCCCGGACTCGAGGGCGAACCTCGGACCAGACGATAGGTGAACTTAAGGTGATTGATCACTGAGCTCTCGGCTCTCTCTGCTCTCCAGTCTCTCCGGTTCCCAAGCCAAGGAGTGGATATCGCGGCGGGGAGTAGTCGCGGGAAGGGGTTAATTCACGCGGCGGCCACCGAACCAAGCACAGCTCTCGGGGCTCGGGAATGAGGAATGAGGATTCGGAGATGACACGGCGCGCTATCTCTTTTCGCGTACTCGTCTATTCGAACCTAATCACCATCGACGCCGACAGTAATTGACGGCAATCGACAATTGAGGAGAGACGAATGACAATATCGTGGTCTCGTGAAACTCGCGGTCGCTAGATCCATAGACCACGATCCATAGACGCGCGGCGAGGATCAGCTGTTCAATCTACCCTCGTGCCGCGCAGTGCCGTGCGTTGGTGCGTGCCACTACGCCACATTACGCCTAATTACGCCACATTACGCCGCGCAGCGCCACCAAGTACGTACTATGTAGCATGTATGTACATCACATCGCATCGGTGCGTTTCTACTTCTTTCGAGTCTTTCGAAAGGAAATACTGGAATCTGTAATAGTTATCTGTAATAGAGTGCTACTCGTTCACACTCGTACGTATTCCACACATAACTATTACAGATTCCAGTATTTCCACTTTTCTTTGTTACGCGCACCGCAATCAGCAATCGGCAATCAGCAATCAGCAATGTTTTTGCGCGGTACATATTCGGTAACATAATATTCTCGTTTAACGCAACACACCTGTGTCGAGTGTCCGCGAAATCTCGTCTATATGCAGCTCTAATTAATTAAACGAATTTGGTTGGACACATTAGTAGTCATCCAGCGAGCGTATCATTACTGATTTAATTCGAATTAAAATGAAATAAAAATATTTTGAATTATAAAACACTCTCCGTATTCAGTCAAGACTATTCTTTCGTTCTTTTTGTGCCCAATAATATTTCTTCTGAATTTATACAATTTCCAGTTCGAGCTAACTATGCGCCAATTATTTGTTGAAGCTCATTAACAGCCAAGATGCATATTTGCAGCAATAATATTAAATTGTTTTTAATTTTATTTGTGTGATATTACTAGTCCTGCAGCTTCGATTTAGAACAGTAGTGTTTCAAAACTGACGAATAATAATGGATGCACAATCAGCTTGAAATTGTATAAATTGTAAAATTATTAGGTACGAAGAATCACTTTGACCAAATGGTACTAATGTAGCATTTTTCAGTTTTCACTATGCTTAATCCCATTGATTGATTTTCATTTAATTAATAAATTGTACAAAATATGCATTTGTAATGTTCCAATAGCGTACAATAAAGTGTATTAAAAATTTATTTCTACATTTATAATATAATATATTTAAACACACGTATTTTTACGTTTTTACATTATACAATAATTATTTTATGTATACAATAATTATTTTATGTACACTGATTGAATGCAATCGAATTCACTGCATTTGAAGTAACTCAAATTAATAATTAATTTAATAAATATATGTCAAATCTTACTCTTTCGCAGTAAAAGATGAATATAAAACAGACTTTAGTAGAGTACCTATACAGCACAGAATTTGCAGCAATATCGCTGTAATAACATTGCAATATTGCTGCAACATGCATTATTGCTGCAACTTTTGTGCTGTAGGGACAAACAAATTAATCTAAATTTATGCTTTCTTTTCCATTGTTTCTTTTCCACATATACAACGTATACATTATACAAAACCATACTTTTACTACAATTTTAATACAAAAATTGATCGGTAGGAGTCATTAGATACTGTTCATCCATTTGGCGAAACTCGAAAGCGCACTGGTTTCGTTCAGGCAGGAAGTTAATCTCGTTATAAAAAACTGCTTGCAGATGCACGATACTCTTAACTTTGGCGATAGCATTAACTTTTGTGAAGAGCTCCTGTGCCTTCGACAGGGATTTTATTCCGCCGAGAATCATCTTTTTTCGAGCTTCAAAAGGTTTCTCTGATGCTGAAGCTATCAGACATTTGCCATATAACATGAATGCCCTGCCTTGATCGTAACAGCCACCGTGACCCAAGACTGTGGGGATAGCGTTCTTCACCGAGTTCAAAGCCAACACAGGCAGACCCATTAACAACTGGATTAATACATACAAGTGGGGATGTATTTTAGTCGATTGAATTATATACACTCATATATTCTCTCATAAAGAGAATTAAAACTCACTTGTATATTGGCAAGGTGCATCTTGACAAGCGCCTTGTAGTATGACAAATGATTCTGTGCAGCCAATTCCAAGGCTGAACAAAGACGCATTATGCAATTAGTAGCGATTGCTGTCCCGTTGTCTGGCAAGGAGGAGGCACATGTTATCTGACTAGAAAGAAGCGCGGCACGTATCACATATGGCGGAGTCACGTGCGGATGCTCCTCGATAGCGCCAATGTGCTCTAGTCCTTTCGGAAAATCGCCTTTTGCCAGGCAAACTTCTACCAACCTAGAAATTTCAGATTTAGATTTCAGTAATTCACATTTTCTCACAAATACAAGAACAATTATATATTTTTCTTTGGCACATGCGCGCTCGTAAAATAAACTCTTTGTACCTGAGTTTGGATTCCAGCTGATCCAAGCTGGAGATATTCCTAGCTACTGCTTCTGCCTCGCCCCATTTCTCTTGTCGCAGCAGTTGCGTCAATATATGCAATTGTTCGCTCAACATCCAGATCTACGAAGCAATAAACTGAATTACGAATAGAAAATCAAAGAAAAAAAAGGAAAATCTTTCTTTTTCAAATACTCTTCAAAATTCAGAAATTTTTCGTGGAGAAAAGATTTTATTTGAATAATTTTCATATTTCATTTGTGAAACAACATACCTTGTTACAAGGACTGTTGGGGAATCTTTCCTTGGCATGTGCCAATACAATGTCAGCGAGAGCGTATTCACCAAACTCGATCAACATATTGGCGACAGTGACGATTGCCTGGCACGTGGATGGTCCATTGAACATATGCTGCTTCTTATCACCTGTATTGTGGAGAAGTAGTAACTGGCCGCAAAGGGAGGCCATTTCCATTTTGCCATAGTACGCCCACAACGCCGATTTCTCCGCAAAAGTGATAGACATCAAGTCGGACATTGAATGCTGGCAGTTTAGCATGTCCGATTTCATCAATATCTATATTGAAATATAAATTGTAAATTTATTATTAATATAAATTTGTACAATGTGTCAAATTGAATAATTACTCTTTACTACGCACCTCGAATACTTGAGGAGGATTTTTGGCTTCTAAGGCGTAACTATGCGCGTGTGAAATGAGACTTAAGCCTGTCGTATGTGTAATTCCGAGTAGACTTGCTGTATATATATATATATATATGCATAATAAAATAATATAACAAAAAGTTAATTATTTAAATAAAAGAAAACCTATACAACATCTTGATCACAACGTGATTCCTATATGTATATCGAGATTTCTTTATCGATCGGTTTAAGAAGGTAATTTTAATGTAAAATTATACACATTTTAAAAAAGATTAGATTTTAACTGTAATATATCTGTGTAAGTGACGAAAAGATGAAGAATCTCTCATTATATTGACTTACTTTTTGTTCTCTTTACTGATTAAGTAGGACATCCAAGAATGCGCAAGCTGCAAACACACGTTGTCTCCGGCTTCCTGAGCTAATTTAATAGCTTCTTTCAAAGCGTACTGTGCTACTTCCCTTTTCAAGAAAGCCACGAAAATTACTTGGTTGAAACAAATTTATAACGCTGTGTACAAGTACGTACGTACGTACGTACGTACATACGTACGTACATACGTACATACGTACGTACATACGTACATACGTACATACGTACATACGTACATACATATATACATACATATAAACTACTACAGGTTTTGATTGTTAAATAGATTAGAGGATAGACAAAGAGTTAAGAGAGCTTAGATTTAAGATAAGTAGACAAAATAGATTACTTATGGTTAAACTGGGCATGTAAAACGGCCAAGTTGAGTGCCGCGTAACGGAAGGTACGAGATCGATCCTCGGGTGTGGATCGGTTCTCCAGAGGTGCCAGTCTATCGAAACAGTGATAGAGACTGTCTATCGCCCCACAAAAATCATTGACGCGGATGCAGTTTAGATAACTGAGGTAATGCTGGAATAAAGGCAAATCTGTTGAGCTGCAAAAAGACATTTATTTCACATTTATCTAATAATTCACATATATATTCTATTGGACACTCACTGCATCTGCATTGTAAGGATTAGACTTTAGAAGATCTTTTACGAGAACTCGCAGCTCCATTGGTGGCAGTGCTTTATGCTCGTCAGTTTGTAAAGCATGCGCTTGTTGCGCCACGAGTAATTCCGCTTGTCTTCCACCCCAAATTGTTTTTGCTTTACTATAAAAAGTATTGACATTGACAAAATATCCTACTTGTAAATACTTGTAACATTACATTATATATAATGTTCTATTCTAAAACTTACTTATCCGGACCAAAAAAATCCTCTTGCTTGGAGATTGAAATGTCAGAATTCTCCAGACTATCGATTTTTTTCACGACATATTTCTCCATATCGTTGTAGAGAGCAACCACTTGATCGAAGGCTAATTTTTCAAAGAAAATGAGCATCCTACGAACGTACAATCCAAGAACAGAATTTCTACTTAATGCTGGTAAAGATAACGCATGATCCTTGGATTCCATTAATCGTCGAAGATTATCAAATAAATCTAACAGCTGATCGATTCCTTTCTCATGTATAGCATCCAGATTTATTTCCAGTCGATCCGCAAACCGATGTAGGGCATATTCTGGCTCGTATAACATATTCAGCAGAGCATCCAACTCCATGTCTGCCGACTTAAAAAATAATCATCTTATATCCAATCCAAAATATGCCTCTCTCTCTTTTTCCTTAATGTGTAAAATAGTTACCTGAATTAACTTTAACGATGCTAAACAAAAGTTACGTCTCTCCATGATCACTAGAAATTGTCAAAGATTAAGTTTGTGCAAAGGAATACAAAGTTGATGTAACAAATTTATATAGACACAAATAAAATGTCACATAATAAAAGCATACCTTTCGTGGTATCGTTACAGTATTCTTTAATTAGAATAACAGTTGCCACTTTGTAAGGAGTTAGGGTCTCTTTCTGAATCTTCCTCACATTGCCATCGACGGTTACAAATTCCTTAGACATTCTGTTACATATGTCATTTACCGCGTAGAGCCGATTATCATTCATAGACATTCTTGTAAAATTAATAAATTTTTCATACATGTATGTACATACATACGATATAAATGCTACATCCTTTGAACGATGAGTAAAACGACCTAGTATCTAATACCTAGTACCTACTCTACATTCAATATTGTCGTCGTTTACATCATCGACTAGTCATAAGTCGTAAGTCGAGCGAGATTTCAAAAGAATTCCGCCAGATGATGCCACGTGTTGTTGTTGTTGTTGTTGTTGTTACACTGTCGCTATCGCTTGATAGCACGAACTTACTACCTAATTCTTATTATTATACAATCTTATGCTTTTATATTCTTATGCTTATACAATCTATGATTGTATATGCAGCGAAATAAGCAGTGATAAGCAAAAGATAGACAACTAGTAGGTAATTCACATTGCAAAGATAAACTCACGAACGATTTCGTTGTCAATAGATGTTACAATTCGTACCGTGCACTCTGAAATCGCAAAGCATCAAGGGGATCAAGATCTGTAAGTCTGTGATTGACAAATCATCGTTTGTCCTGCTTGCAAGAAGAAAATACAACAGAATGGTCAAATATTTAAATCAGTCGGAAGCTATTAACGTTGACAAAGATCTGTTCGAGAAGTATAAATTTAGCGTAGATCAGTTAATGGAGCTAGCCGGGCAAAGCTGCGCCGTTGCGATTGCGAGATCTTACCCGTTGTCGTTGGACTCGAAGGACGCATCCTCTAACCGAGTATTGGTGTGCTGTGGGCCTGGCAACAACGGTGGTGACGGCCTAGTTTGCGCGAGGCACTTAAAGCTCTTTGGATACTCGCCAGAAATCTATTATCCAAAGAGGACGAATAACGAACTATACCAAAGGCTGTTGCATCAATGCGTCGAGAATGGTGTACTTGTACTGGAAAATCAGCGCATAGAGGAAGCAACTGCAGACTCGACAGTTTTTTTGCACAAATATGCGATTGTAGTGGATGCTCTTCTGGGATTCAGTTTCAGACCACCAGTTAGAGAGCCGTTTGTTCATATCATCGACATGTTGAAAAGCACAAGCGTGCCTATTTGCAGCGTGGATATACCATCGGGCTGGGATGTCGAGAGAGGCCCACCTGAGGATGGTGGCATAAAGCCACAAATGTTGATATCTCTAACGGCACCAAAAATGTGTGCGTCAAAGTTCGACGGAGAATTCCACTATCTGGGTGGACGATTTGTGCCTGAGAAGTTGGAATCTCAGTATAATCTCAATCTACCGAAATACGCTGGCACGGATTTTATTGTTCGGTTATATTGACAAATGCTTACAAATCCTGTTCTATCCTATCCCGTGCGTAATGTGTTCTCATCGTCAGAAAGTACATTTGAATTTATCACGTGACCAACTTTTTTTTCAACTATTGTATTAGTTACTCGAGAGAAATATTTAGCTGAAAAACATAATTCTGATCATAAACAATTTATATTTCTCCTTGTTCTCCAACTGTTTACGAAAGCAGTTATTTTAATATTATACATATATGTATGTAGTATTTTCAAGTGCAGTGGATTTTAACCTAACCTAACTTAACCTAATCTAACCGGATCGATCACATCATGTGTTTTACTTTGATTTCTGGTTGCACGAGACCATGATAGAGTCTGAGCACAAGAATTATCGTAATACCTACTTAGACTTGAATTGTAGACATAAGTAACGCACAAACTTTCACGTATGACGTACGACTTATTGTCGTGTCTTTAAAAGACAGCAATAAATCGTATGTCATACGCCAAAACTTGAGTGTTACTTACGTCTACAACTTAAGTCTCTAAATAAGGGTTAGAACAATTCTTGTGCTCACACCCATACTTTCGAGTCACATATGGATTAATCAAATTGGGTTGGATTCAGACCCACTACACTCGAAAGTGCTAATAATTATTGATAAATAAATTATATATACACTTTTGAATTTATATTCGTTTAATTGCAGTTCTTGAAGATACTAATAATAAACATATATTTCTCTGGTGGAACAATCTTAAATTTATTTATAATGGACGTTATAAATGTGGGCCCGTATTCAAAATGCGCTTACAACGATGTTAGCGCGCTAACATGCTATAATTTATCGATAAAAGTGCGTTCTGAATACGAACCACGAAGTAGGAAGGCGAATTTTTACAGATCATTATTTTAATGTTAACGCTATATATCTTTGTATTGAAAACATTGCCAATACTAATTACCAGTCAAATATTCCCCTCTCATTCGATTAAAAGAGAATACTCGAAGGTGATTGGTAAATTTTTACAGATTACGACAGATTAGGTCGAAATTCTTATGTTCTGTTCTCTGTTGTCTATTCCTTTTATTATGCAGAGCCCTTAAGTTGTCTTGTAACAAGACTTGTTACAAGCGCCGACAGATTGATTGTTCGTCATTGTCTATCTATCAAAATTCGTGAACATAGTAAACAATACAACCAAAAAATCGTGGACATTATCGACCGGATCTTGGGCATTGACTACATAATTAAATGTCCACATTTTGTGAACATAGAGGTGTTTTAAAATAAAATAACAGTAAAGTCATTAAATTAACAAAGTATCGCGATGAGAAAATTCACTGAATTAGCATTTGGAGCCATAATAGCATCGAAGTGCTATCCTAACCTTCATTGATTATGTTAAAAGACTTGGAAATCCACAGGGGTCTGGAAGAAGAAGAAGAACCTGATTCTGTTATTATAGAAAATGCCCGGTTGCTATGTTGAAAATTGCAAAAACCGCAGCAAAAGAGGCTAAAGTTTTGAATAACCGCGTATCATGGAGTTAAATTGCGGCAATTTACAGTACTTTGTTAATCTAGTGACTTTAAAGTAACAGCTAAATTCGTGGCATAACTTTGGCACTATAATATGAGTATTTGCATCCGCCGTTTTTAGTGTATTCTTTCCTCAATCTTTCTCTATCTCTCTTTCTCCCTCTCTCTCTCTCTCTCTCTCTCTTTCTCTCCTCTCCTCTCTCTGTCCACTCCGCCGCTAAACTAAGGCCCGTATTCATATTCAGACCTTGTACTTAAGGCTTCCTTAAATTTATCTTTAGATGCTCAGCAGCCAATGAAATAATTCGTACAGTATCTAAAGATAAATCTAAGAAAGCCTTAAATATAAGGCTTATGAATACGAGCATGAGAAGATTGATGAGAGAACAAGGAGTAGGGAAGAGATTAAAAATGGCAGATACAAATACCTAAATTATAATGCTCTAGAATGACCACTCAAGTTTCTCTCTACCTGTTGTATGATTACGGCCTAAAGCCTTGTGCCCATAATGTTAGAAATCGATCCGGATGAAAAAAGAATTGACCAATCGCAATGGTCATGTGTTTAAATTGTTCCAATATGATTTGTTAATTTTTTCTTTGTCCGAGATCTCGGACCGATTTCTAGCATCGTGGACATCAGGCTTAAATGCACGTTGATCGGCGTAGGACCGGGAGGGAGGTGGGCTTTTTTCTGTAATGTAACCGCAAAATGTTGTGGCATCCCTAGTTTTACTAGAAGTTTAAGTTTGATAATCTTGCGTTAAAAATTAGACATAGTTTTATACTGTCTGTATATTTTAGACAGAGACCGTTTTTTTTTTAAAAAGATCGGTAGATATTTTTTTGTTGACATATAAAGATTAAAAGTTACCAAGCCGAGTCTGTTTGTAAATTATTCGCAGAATAAAAATATTATTTTGTTTATTGTAAGTATGTATTGTGTCTTAATTTATCGGAACATTCTCCACAATGGCTGTACGTTCTCCACAATGGCTGCGTTCAACAGAGAAAACAACTTTGCAGCTTGTAAAATTCTTGAATATGATTGGTTGATGCATTTAGATCCAATGAGGAATTCAAAGGGCAACACCAATAATATTGAAGAATTTTACAATTGCAAAGCTGTTTTTTACTAAACGCAGCCAATGTCTTGCCCTCTGAAAAAGTGGATGTCAATTACACAATAATATCCACTTCTTTGTGGTGCTCCTGATGAAATAAATCATTAAAATCGTTGAAATAATACACTAAAATCTTTCAAATTAATAGAGATTTAAATGATTTCGACGATTTATTTCCATCACAGATGGGTACACCGCAAAAAAGTGGAATGAAATCGTTGTGTAGTTGACATCCACTTCTTCAGAGGGCGATAATGCGCTGGGCATTTTGCAATTACAGGAAAAAGGCCCTCATATCTTCTCTCTCTCTCCCAGGTTTATTCTCTCGTACGTACATTTAATATATTTATGAAATATATGCATTAATTATACGTAATTTCGCATAAAAGAGTGGCGTTTTTCCTTAAAGGAAGCCACGAGAAAAGAGGATAAATTCTGCGACACGGTAGACACACAAATTATCCTGAGTCCTCAATAATTGGTTAATTTGTTGCAAATTGTGATAGCATCGTTTTTCAAGGGATCTCACAACTGTATCTCTCTCTCTCTCTCTCATTCTACAAAATGGTACATACATATACATAATTCCGTAATTTCGCACGAATTGGATAATTGTTTACGAAATGCGTACATTTTCAGGCGCAAGAGGTCGAAGAAACTATGAAACGGATTCAATCTCATAAGGGAGTAGTTGGAACAATAGTGGTAAACGCGGAAGGTATTTAATTTTATATTTAAAAACATGAAATCATCTATTTGTGATTGCCAGGAAATTCTTACTGAATTTTGATTTTCAGGTATTCCAATAAAATCAACATTAGACAACACTACGACAGTTCAGTACGCAGGTTTGATAAGTCAATTATCAGATAAAGCCCGCTCTGTTGTGCGCGATCTGGATCCGACCAATGATTTAACTTTCCTGCGCATCCGTAGCAAAAAGCATGAAATTATGGTCGCACCAGACAAGGAATTTATATTGATAGTAGTGCAAAATCCAGTTGATTGATATCTAAAGGATGATAATAATGCAGAAGTACATTGCAAAATTCAAATTTATTCCCTTAGTAATTTTATCGATTAATAATTATTAACTTATTCCACGTATTACGTTTGATTTTAATAATTATTCAATTAAGGAATGAAAGAATAAAACTTGATTATTGGTATAATGCAGCATTTTATTTCCAAGTTGGTTTAGTGGAACTTTAAGAATTTTCGTACCGTTTTCTTTAGCACTTCATATTTTGTGGTACTTTTGCAAATCAATTTAGTAATAAATTCTAAATAAATATTATTAATTATTCCTACATTTTTGTATTATTTCAAACAACTACGAATATATTAGGTGTTGGAATTAATTCGTAGCGTTTTTTAATGAAAGAATGTTATTTATTTCACATGAGCATTAAAAAATACATTAATGAAAGTACTTCCCATCACTTGTAAAACGCTACGAATTAATTCCAACACCTAATATATGCATCGACATGTACATACATTCTGTTTTATATATGATACTTAATTTCTATATATAATTCATTTATATTTTATGATATTCTTTAGTTATATTATAGAATACTATTGTATCACAATGTTCTGTTAATTTAATTCCACACAATTGAAATTATGTTTTTATTATTACTTTTATATCTTATGTAAAAGTATATATTAGGTGTTGGAATTAATTCGTAGCGTTTTACAAGTGATGGGAAGTACTTTCATTAATGTATTTTTTAATGCTCATGTGAAATAAATAACATTCTTTCATTAAAAAACGCTACGAATTAATTCCAACACCTAATATTTATAATTACTCTGTGTGCGCGTGTGTATTATAGAGTACTATTTTTTTTGTTATTTCAAAGTTAAATCATAAAATCCTTGCCAATGTAATCTTTCTACACCAGGAAAAAAATTTTTTTATAAATACATTAAAATAATTTAAAATAATTTAAAAAATATTTTTGTTCTTTTTTTATTTTAAATATTCAGAAATTTATTCTTTTATTGTAAAAAAGTACAGTCTTCAGCATCAATATCACATAACATGTATCTAACGTTTTTCATTAAAAATTTGCAAGCAGCATTATATATTGGATATAACATATAAATTATTTATCCCTGAGAAATATTTCTTACAGTTTAAATTGAAAAAGTGTAAAAAAAAGATTCTTATTAAAGATTTCAATATAAAAGACAATATCTAGTTGGTTTCTATTGATAACACAGCCATGTACTTACATTTCTGCGCAGTCTATGAGACATCTTAAAACTATATGTTGCAGATTTAGTCAAAATGTGGCATTGCTTATATATACACACACACATATATATATATATATATATATATATATGAATTTTAATATCGAGATTCTTTTTTTTTCGAGATACATAATGTGTATCTCGAAAGATACTTTGTAAATTATAATGCAAAATTAATTTAATCTCCTTAAAGTAAAAAATAGAGATTCATGATTACATGGCTTGAAGTGAATTTGAAACACGTTGCTTTTTCGAAGGGTGAAATCTAGTATAATATATTATCATTGCTATAATTCCTAGCAAAAAGGAAACGATGCAAGTAATAAAGAATATGTTAAAATACCAAGCCTCTGTAACTTCAGGAGGACAGGTATATCTCCACAATAGACTTGAAGTAATGTTTTCTGCAAAACAGAGCATATAGAAACATAGATGTTTCCAAAATGTATTGCAATCTACAGTATTTAAATATATGAAAATGTAAACTATGCCAATAACTATGGCAAATAAGCTAGAATAAATGCGTTCTTTAAATGTTGGCAGCATATGTGGTGGGCGATCATAAGCTCGGCAAAACTCTAATATTCCATGAGAATTGATCAAAATCCATATGGTCATGATTACCCAATGTATTAGGCAACCGATTATAGTATATAGAGGCCAGACGCTTGCAATAATACTGAGAGATAAGATTCTTGCCACTGTAATCATCATAATCAATTATATATAATCAATGATTTTTTTTCTAAAATACATGTCTCAATTGGAATATCATTTCATCTGTTGATTGTTGAATATGTACCTGTAATGCTAAAGTGCCACAGAAATTGTAGCACGGTTCCTACAACACCAATATTCAATTTATTTTGTTGAGCTAATCGAATGCTACGATGATAACTGGCCATTGCCCAACCCATGCTTGCAAGCGAGCTGACAATACTAGCTACTTGATGTACAACTGAAAAATAATATGAAAAGCATGTTAAAAGAGTCGCTTGATAATATCGATCTATTACAGTACATGTTTGCAATGTATAAATAAAAATTTTTGATTCTATGCCAAGATGATTGAAAAAGCTAAAATTATTTGACAACAAGTTGGAATATGAAACTAGGTTTTTAAAGCTATTTTTTTCTTCATTGTCAATTGTGCTAAATCTTTAGTAACTTTACAATGTGTGAGATTGATCGAGTATAAATATATTCCACAAAGTATAGATATACACAAAGTATAGATATACATTCAAAATTAATTTCATTGTGGTAATGCTTTAGCATCAGAGTTAGCTGTAGGATTTGTTGCGGTGCAGCTTCCAAGAAACATTCAAATACTCTTAACAAGGCAACATCTTGATCTTCTTTGAGCATCCTTAAGTAATATCTCCTTTCATTGATACGATCCTCGGATTTCTTGCATTTACGTGCTTTTAATGCACACTTCAGGGTTTCCCAGTAATGTATAACTGGCGCCAATTGCAAAAAAACAGCGATTGTACAATACAATCCATTTTTAATCAACAAATGTGTCGTTTTATACTCATTCGATGTACTGGAACTTATCTATATCAAAGAACATACTATGTTATGTACGTCACACACACACACACACACACGCACGCACGCACGCACGCACGCACGCACGCACGCACGCACGCATATTGAAATTGACAGAAATAAATTAATCGAGTTAAACTTAGTATAGCTATATGTAGTACTTCACTTGTTTATCTTGAAGTTGCATCCTCCTGCTGATAACAACATTGATCAGAGAGGGAACAAGTATGAGGCACATTGTCCAAGCAAAATACGTTACTTTAGCACCCAGGTAATATTGGATAGCGATATTATAATCGAAACCCATGTCGACGACATGCATTACTATGGAGCAAGCCAGCAAGAAGACATCCAGTCTGGAGATACGGGGAGTGTCTGTCGGCAGGTCAGTGATGTCAACGTCGAAATGGATACCTGGAAACACGCTGGCGAGATGGAAAGAACGACGTTCGCAATTTCTCTCCTCCATAGCGTCCTTATTTTCTAATCTGTCTATTTTCTCTCCAATCTCTTTGCTCGGGACTCGGGACCAAGTGCAAAGTGCACGTTGCAACGTGAGTTGGCACTCGCCCACGCTGCAGCTCACACATCAATTGACGTGAATTGATGTGAATTGACGAACGTCAACAAACAATCCACATCACATAAATCATATTTCTTGATTCCGCCCCTCGCGCCGCGCCACGCCGCGTCGGCCATTGCCCAGATGTTCGCCGCTACGACGAACGACGATTCAATTCGAAGAGTCGATAGATATCGGCTCTCGACAAGAATCGAGACGCGCGGTGATGAGAAACATAACTATCGACCTTCTCTTTACTCCTGCATGCAATTGTAAACAATTCAGATAAAAACAGAACGATCGATAATTTTCTCATAAACAACTAGTTCAAAATTGTAATTTTTCGGTAATATATATATGTATAATAAGATATTATAGCATTAAAAGTATGCGTGTCTATATTTATACAGCATTTATATAATAATAAAAAAATTACGAATTTATAATCACGAAACTTTGCCTATAGAAGTGACCGTCTTTAGGGTATATCCACACAAAACTTGCATAGCCGCATAAACGTATGCACAAAGAAAATTATCCAATCACATTTTACGTGCGTCTTTATAAGAGAAATGCGATTGGTTATTTTTATTTATGCATATGTATACGGCTATGCAAGTTTGTATGGATGTATCGTTGATATTATCTCGTCGGTGCAGGTCAGCAGCACTGTCAGCAGGGACAGCCCAGACAGCAGGTGACGCGTCAATGGTTGACGTCGTCGTTGGTCGTCGTGTCGTGTCGTGTCGTGTCGTATCGTGTCGTGTCGTGTCGTGTCGTGTCGTGTCGTGTCGTCGTGAGTCGTGGTATAGTGATCATATACAGTCGTCTGTAACATAATAGTAGACGTTGTCATCTTGCGAGTTGCGAATCGCGCAAAATTGCGCGAGAGGCGTGATGCGCAAAAAGTGTAATCGATGTGATGTTTTGCGAGGGATATAACGAGGTGGGTGGTGAGATTTCATTTTTTTTTTCACAATCGATCTGTCGGGTCTCTTGGATCCTACAATTTCCTTGATTTGACATAAAGTACGTCGCAGTATTACAGCACAGTACAGCCAGTATAGGCGGATGCAGGCCTGTTGGCGAGGTTGCGATTATTTTGTCAAATTCCCTCCTCTGCAATTTATTTCTGCAATTTATTTCTTACAATATCGTAATCAATTGTAACGTTTGATCGATGTTTGACAACGACATTTATTTATTGCGTCATATTTCGTGCCATGATTTCTTTATTTGTAGACATTATCCTGGATAAATATGGTTATGCAAAGCAGAATCTGCATGCTGGCTATTTTGCACACTCACATTTTCCGCCTTCTCTCTCTCTCTCTCTCTCTCTCTCTCTCTCTCTACACTTTATATCTAATTTTTTTGTCTTTTTTACCCATTTTTATTTGTTTAATAAACTATATATCTACATACACACAAACATTAAAATATATTTTATGAAGAAAACGATAAGATCTAAAAATAATGTATCCATATCTCTTCATTCGGAATCTTTATTACTTATTAATTCTTATTTTCTAAGACTAATTAAAACTTTATGCTTGGATGAACAGACTTTGGAATTTCTATTTTATTCCATCAAAATGTAAACCATCAATCAAAAAAACAATAGCTTGCCTAAAGTATCTTTTAATTTAAAAAAATTAAATAATTACAATTTTCTTCATTTTGATTTTTGTATAATTTAATTTTTTTCTATTGTCCTATAGAATGCCGATACAGGCACCACAGTGGACTGAATTCTTGTCGTGTCCAATCTGTTGCCATGACTTTGATGTGGCTATACGAGGTCCCATATCACTTGGCTGTGGTCACACCATATGTCGTGCTTGCTTGGCCAATTTACATCGCAAGCAATGTCCTTTCGATCAGGTAGCAATATAGGTATTTTAGTATGATATTACATTACTCAACAAGAAATAGTCAACACTTCCAAAATGCTCAAAATTGCACAATTTTCAGATTGTTGTCAAAATTCTGTGAAAAATCACTGTAGACCAAAAAAATTTTTTTTATCAGTAAAACTTCTTACTTTTTAACATATTGGCCATTTTCCAAAAAAAATGTTTATCTTTACAGTTCTATATCTTAGCAAAGATCATATTATTATGTTCCTTAAAATTACATACATTTAACAGTCTGCAGCTTGATAACAAATTTTCTCCAAAAAATTTGATATTTTTATAAAAAAATATAAAAGGTATTAAAAAGAGTTTTAAATGCTTTTCTACAAATTTTCTTATATTAGGTGTTGGAATTAATTCGTAGCGTTTTTTAATGAAAGAATGTTATTTATTTCACATGAGCATTAAAAAATACATTAATGAAAGTACTTCCCATCACTTGTAAAACGCTACGAATTAATTCCAACACCTAATAATTTTTTTTGATCTTTTTTTGAATTACGCTAGATTTACATTTCTTACAAATCAATGAAATTTGACGAAAAATTATCGTGAAAATCTTTTACTTTTCCAATTTTGCAGAATTAATTTTAAAAACTATCAAAAGCATGTCCAAGTACAAATTCAGAGCTTCAAAATGCTTTTTCAATTCTTGATCTGAAAATAGGGCAATTTTGAAAGTGCTTTTTCCTATTTCTCGTTGAGTAGTATAATATAATATACAAATATATATATATATTTGTACATCTCTATGTGTGTGTGCTTGCATGTATGTATATACGCATAGTATATGTATAGCATACATATATACATTGCTTAGAATTTTATAAACAATTCTTTATTTTGTTTGTCCTTTTTACAGAGCATTATCAACACTGACATCGAAAAATTACCTGTAAATGAGGCACTATTACAATTACTAGGCAATCCAATTCCCATCGTTGCTTCAACATCTGCATCGAATCAACAGCAGAATTATCAGAAGCTTCTGCCACCCGACCAACATGTTAATTACCTGAGAGCTAAGAATTGTATTGAAGAACTTGCTCTTTATCTTAAACCATGTCAAATTAGTAATACTGCAGGTATGCAGTATACAAAATTTTAAAATATCAAATAAAATAACCATTGAAAGATAACAAAAATTATATTAAAATTTATCGTGTAAGGAATATACATGTAGTAAGCAATTAAACAATGTTATATGTTGTGTTACAAATACAATAATACTGTATTACAATAGATTTTGTTAAAATTATTGTATTTTATTACACATATGAATTATATAATATTTTAAAATATATATGATGTCTAATGTACACAAGCACACGCATCCATATGAATTGTTGCCATATTTACTTGTGTGATATGAATTATATTTGTTTGTTATATAGGTATCGGAAGCGGAGGTGGAGGACTGGTATCACGACCCATGCAACGCAAATTGGTGACGTTATTAGGTTGTCAATTAGTCGAACCAGAAGGTAGAGCACGTGCATTGCGTGCTGCTCGTAGTCTTGGTGAGCGCACCGTCACGGAGCTTATACTACAGCACCAGAATCCTCAACAACTCAGCGCTAATCTTTGGGCGGCCGTGCGTGCTCGTGGTTGTCAATTTCTTGGACCAGGTAAATTTTATTTATACAAGATAATTATGCAATTTGAATAAGCTGTATCTTTCAATGCATGTAAATAATAGAAGAAGAAAAAGATGTGTGTGTGTGTGCGTGCGTGCGTGCGTGCGTGCGTGTGTGTGTGTGTGTAAAAGTAATGTGGCATTATTTTCTTTGCAACTATAGTAATGGATGGTAGAATTACAATAAAGTGTTTGTTTTGCAAACTCATACATTGTAAGCATTATTTCAGTCTCGTTATTTGCTAAATATTAAACAAGGACAAATGATGCTTACAAGCGCTATGAAAAGGGAATGCATCTATAAATTGCATCCTCTTTAAATATCATTTTTCTATCATAGTTATTCTGCATATAGAAGAATCGAAATAAAGCCTCAAAGAGATATAATAACTTGTAAGATGTGCGCGCGCATATTATGTGTTACATTTTCCTTGGATAACTTATTTCTATAATTGTCTTTGTATTTTTATTACTGTAATTTTTAGCGATGCAAGAGGAAGTTCTCAAACTTGTGCTATTGGCTTTGGAGGATGGCTCTGCTCTATCGCGTAAGGTATTGGTGATGTTTGTAGTACAACGTCTGGAACCACATTTTCCTCAAGCTAGTAAGACTAGCATTGGACATGTGGTGCAGCTTCTATATCGAGCGAGTTGTTTTAAGGTAAATATGTGGTGGTTCATAAAAAGATTTAAACGTTTTTAATAAAACATTATATAGAAACTTTTTTACTGTACAATTATGTATATTAAATATATTATTATCGTTTTCTATTATGTTACGTTTTTAGGTATCAAAGCGCGAGGGTGACTCATCTCTAATGCAATTAAAGGAAGAGTTCCGTACTTATGAAGCTCTTAGACGGGAGCATGATGCACAGATTGTACAGATAGCCACCGAGGCAGGCTTGCGTATTGCGCCTGATCAATGGTCAGCGTTGCTCTATGGCGATACTGCTCATAAGTCTCACATGCAAAGCATCATTGATAAATTGCAGACACCACAATCGTTCGCCCAGAGTGTCCAGGAGCTTGTGATAGCGTTGCAACGTACACCAGATCCTGGACAACTGAGCGGTCTCAGGCCACAGTTGGAATTATTAGCTGCCATCGATCCTAATCCAGGTATGTAGGTTACCCGGACCATATGTAAAATTATATTCTGTATAAATTCTTAAAACTTATAATTATTAAAGTTCTTCGGATTGTGTACGAATTCTTAGAATCTTGATATCGTTATCTTGGTATCGTTATCAATAACTATTTTTTACTTAGTTAAATAAGTATATGTTTATAATTTTTATAATTTTTAGAGACAGAGCCACCAAGTTTGGCCGAATGTCGAGTGGCTTTAGAAGCCGTAAGAATAGTAGTGGCTACGTTAGTGGACTTTGTTCGACAACATGGAAGCAATGGCACGTGCGGTAACAATCGGAAATCAGTGGCGCAAGATAGTGGAGGTAGCGGTCCCATCGGGAGCTCGTGTCCAGGTTCAGTGACCAGCAAATACAAAGTCAGCATGTGCAGAGATTTAGCCCTGCGCGGCACTTGCCCACGATCCAACAATTGTACCTTTGCTCACAGCGACACCGAGCTTGATAAGTACGTTTATTTATTTGATACAATTATTCATTTTATTTTCTAGTATCTGTTTTTAAGAACATTATTAAAGAATATTGAAGAAAAGAAATCTCGACATCAAAAAATAATGGATAGAAAATAGTAATAATTTTTATTATCAATTTTTTGATAATAATATTTCAAATGAAGAGATTATATTTGACTATACGTAACCATTTTACTGCTACAATGATTTGCAGATTCTAGACACATACAATTCTTTTCAAATAGATTTTTCACACGAAAAATGAGTTTTTTTTTTTCTATACAGGTACAGATCAAAAAATCGTAAATTGAGTGTCAGAACAAATTCAAATCAGACGGAATCGAAGGGTGAGAAGAATAACAAGATTTTCAATAAGCAAAACGGTGATTTAACGACTTACCATCCCATAAAAGCACACGACAGGGATAGTGAGTATAGTGAATATTTATATTTAATATGATGGATAGATCAAAGTATTATACTAATTACAAACAAGATGTCTTTCAGAATAACTTTATTTGATAATTGTTTTGTATTCATAATAATAGTAAAGAAAAATCACTTAAATGTTCAAGTGAAGCACCCTTTATAATATATTTAAATAAAACAATCATCTCTATTATTTTATCATTTTATCTTAATTGTTACAGCAGTGGTGCAACATTCAACGCCTGTCCCGACCAACTTGGAAAATAATTTGATTGACTCATTGACATCGACCTACGTTTTGCCGCTTACATCCCCCCAAAACTTGTCGCATCTTAGTCTGTGCTCTGTAAAAGGAGGAACTATGTTGGATAGTGGAGGATCTCCTGGTGTCCATTGCTCTGGACATTACATAATGCCACCAGGATCTGTTCCCACAGTCGATTATGGACCTTCCTTGACAACTACGACAAACCTCGGAGTGTGGGATACCCCACAAATTGTACCAGCAAATCAAGTAACAAACGACAAAAAAGTTTAAGAGAAAATAGCTTGCTTTCTTATAATCAGTAATTTGCCGGAATTTCAAATGGATAAATTCGTTTAATAACAACAAAACAAAAAATAGTAACAAAAAGATTTGTTAGAGTAATCCTTTCAGTGGATAATATTTATTATTAATGTGACTGATAATTGATTGTAACGATAGTTTAAACATAATTTCAATAATGATAATAATGAAATAATCGTTTTGCAATAGCGAACGGCAATGGGAAAAACTATGTTGGCGATGTTATTGCAACGCAAAATGGAGATCTTAAATCAGTTGGAAATAATTGTTGGCAAACAGCAGCAACAACAACTAATATCACCGCAAATAAAAACGGTAAACATATATCCTATATGTTTCTTTGTATTCGAACGAACTTTATCATATTTTATCATTGTTTTGTGCGCGCGTACGTATGCGTAACTTATTTAATATATTTTATATTTTATACATTTTGTACATGATTATATATTTTCCCTTAGAATTACGATCTTCAGCAAGAGAGTGATTTATTGTCTGCACCCAACAATTACTCGATATGGACCGCTGCGAATAACTTTCGCTGTACATCCGGGACGGATCCACCGCCACCACCACCTTCGTCTGCTACCACTTCGCATCTACTCGATGATGACAGTCCCTTTATGTCTCCATTAGACGTATCTCCGGCAACCTCTTTGCCATCAGTTAGCAAACAAGCACCCATCTCAAGACTGTCTAAAACTTTGATAAGGTGATAATAAATAATATATGTATAGCTATTATATCGATTTAATTGTAATATCTGTACATGTACAATTTTAATAACTTTTATAGTTGCATAATTTAAAAAATTACATGATCTATTATTTAATAGTAATAAAGTAATGATAATAGGTCTCCCTACAACGGAACTCTGCAACATCTCTATAACGAGGAGGTCGATCCTACTCCTATCCCCACACTGTCTACTGCATTCAGAACTCCAAACTCTGTAACCTCTTGGTATTATGGCAGTCAACGTGAGTACGAAATATTATTTCTAGCGATTAGAGTATGTATATCGACAGAAATAATACGTAAATCAATATACATTCAATGCATTATATACTAAGAATTTCAAGAATTTTATTCACGAATATAATAACTTTTCCTATATCTGTAATATACATAAATAGATTTTTAATATAATTTTTTTTCTTCAAATGTTTGTTTTTCAAGAATTTTCTTATAGATATGTATAATGTTTCTATATACGATAATTGTTAAAGATAATTGTTAAATTGATATTAATTGCATATTATTGTGCAGCATATGCAACAGTTGGTGTGAATGGAATACAGTCAATGACGCCAACGAGCCCTGGTAGTGGTGATGGTGACAGCGATTTCACCAGTGATAATTACGTCGCACTTGGCCGCAATATTATTGCACCAGAATCACTATCACAATTCTCGAGATCGGAGTGTATGTCAAAAGAGTGAGTGATATATGTAGTTGTATTCTTTTATTTATAACTCTCTGTTATCTTTATTAATGGAAAAAAGAAAACAGATATTTATTATGTACAGATATGTATATTATATGTTATGTACACATTGCAGTTTAATTTTGGAATCACAGAAAGTAAAGCAGCAACTCAGACATCTTGAAAAGAAAATCAATGACTTAAAGGTAATGCGTCACATTTTGAATTTTGAAAAATACAAAAAGCATTGTTCAATTCATGTCCTGCATGTGTATATTTAGTTGGCTACGCAAGGAGCTACTACTTTCGTCACAGCAGGCGAACGATTGACGCAAGAATTGCGAATGATCGAGGCGGGTATCAGAGAAAGGGAGAGAGATGTACGAAATTGGAGCAATCCATACGGTGGTAGTACTGGTACTACCACTATTCCTTGGATTCAGCAGTCCACTAATGATTGGCTATCAAATCAAGAATATAATACGGATTACAAAACTGAGGAGGTAGGCCGTGCCATTTTATGCCATTTTATTTTGTAATTAATTTCCATAATTTATAACTCCATATATTTTCGTGAACGAATACAGAGAGAAATTGTATTTTTATTGCGGATTTTATTTCAAGTACTAATTTCACTACGTCTTTTTTATTTATATGATAAAAAAAATTATACAAATATTCCAAAATATAATAAAAATTCAAATTTAATATGATCATAAGCAAGAATTATCGATTTATCGATTAACTGATTAACCAATGTGTGCACAGGAAGATACATACGAGGCTGGGATAGCAAATGATATGCGCGAGCTAGAACTGCGATGGGAATTTGAGCTGCGCGAGCAGGAAAAACATTGGTCCAGTGGAGGTGAGAAGGATCCCATCACCACCACTACCTCCATGAATAAATAATAGGATATCTCTCCCTTCTTTTTCCCTCTTTAGCTCTGTTTTCCTTTCTCGTTCATCTTTCGGGAAACATGTATTTTTACATGTCAAAATCAATCTTCGATTCTATCTTTTTTAATTAATATTAATCGAGGATAGTAAAATTCCTTTAATTCATGGTCAGAAAATATATATAGTAATCGCAGACGTGCGGACCTAAATCTTGAACATTTTTCACGTTGATAATATCACGCGATGAAAAATTGTACGATTTTAATTCTAAATAATAATTTATCAATGGCATTGAGTTGTCGACTGTTGAAATTAAGCAACAATTTTACTACTTGGGGTAGATGATGATTATGATTACGTAAACTTCGTGAAAAATGTCAGACTTGAAATAATTCGTATCTTTTACGTAATTAATTTCCAAATTAGCAATCTTCTCGATTGATCTCTTGAACTATCCTGTTGTCTCTTTTTAATTTAAAAAAGAGATAAATGATACTGTAAAATTTTTATGAAAGAGATATATTTATTTTTACGGGATTTGTTAAAATTTAGCTTAATACGCAGTCAGTGTTTTATAAACAATGACTTCGCGAAATATGTGGGCGCGAGGAATGTATTAATTAACATATTTAATTATATGCAGATTTCGTATACTCTACTGATGATACGATATCATATATACATATAATGAATACACACATTCGAAAAGAATGCTGATCGCGCTTGACCTGATCGATAAGGTTAGACTCTGATGATAATAACAACACGTTATTACATTATATGCTTATACATATATTGTAGATACATGTGCTAAAGAAGAAATCGCGTTCCTTTTGAAGGACGCTATATTTATAGAATTTCTATATTCCGAAGATGGAAAGGAAAACGAAACTGCTACCTCGGCTTGACGATGGTATCCTTTATAGTATCTTGTATTTCACAAAATTTGTTTTCGAAAGATAATCAAAATCTTCTTTTCAAAAATTAATTCTGATCTTGTGCCGAAAGCGCATGAAAAGAAACGTCATGCTTATGTTTAATTAATACAATTCGATGTTTAATAAATTATTGTAATAAAATTAATCTATATTAAATTTTCGTGTTGCGCATAAACGTTGTTATGTTACATGCAATAATACGTAACGTAATAACTCTTATATTGATTATTAAGATTAACATCAATTTTATTAATTACATGTATCACCAAAATTCTGTTAAGAATTTATATCGCGAAAAAAAGTGGAGATGCGACTTTTGAGGGCCGTCTCGAGAGAGGAAAGTCTAGTTATCCTTTTTAGAAACTCGTTGCAATAGCAATTTGAAATCGACTCTTTTTTTTTTCTATTTTTACGGAATAGCAAAGAGCGATGAAAATAATTCCAGTTTTAGTGGAAGCAAGATTTTTTTTTTATAGACGGGATCTCGTCGATTCCATTTTATAAATCCTCAGGAGGACATACACACATACATTATACATACGAACAAATTTCTTTTTTCAATTTGACACGCGCGCGCGCGTGCGCATACGCACATGCACGAGGAGTGAGAGGGGGGAGGGGCGGGGGCATAATTGTGCGTGCGTGCGTGCGTACGTGCGTGCGTGCGTGTATAAATATATAATTACATCTGATGTTAAATTAATGCGTTTCTTTTTTTAGTACTGTCTATAATCGAAGATAATTCATATAAGAGCAATAGAGATGGATTAAGCTATTTTTAATTTAATTGGATTGTTATATATTTAAATTTTTATTTTTTTTTAAAAAAGATATTACTAAATTAATACATTAACTTTGTCTCAATTTTTGTGCAATCGAAATTTATTTTTTTACGTGTTTACATCCAAAAATTTTTGGAGATTGTTTAACAAATTTTTTAGAGTAGTTAATAAAAATTAAAAATCTCTATAACGCATTGATTTCTTTACAATTTTGTATAATTACCACTACATTGTTTTTCATCATGATTTTTTATTTCTTATGAAAATGAAACTCGAAATGAAATATTAAACAAGATAAAAAAATCAGTGCATTAATTGTTTTTCAACTTTGTAAGTTATTTCAAGTTTTCTCAGAATTTTTCTTTGGAATACATACTTAATCATTTTGTAGTATATCCGTAGTAATTATTTTGAAAAAATTATTTTAAAAGGAACGCTATGATAAAGAAAAAAAAATTATATTCGTAGTTTAATCGCAGTTTAATACTATTTTGTTATTCATTAAATTTTTATTATTTGACTTACGATTTATTATTGATATTGTTAATTTTTGTCGAGATTTAAATCATTAAGATTATGTATGACTACAATATAATATAATCATGCAAAATTAATGGAAAAGTATCAATCGGCGTAGATTTTCTGTAGCTAGCCTAGATACATATATTTAGTGCAATTTTATTCGTTTTTGTTCGTTATTTTGTGTAATAATGATAATAATAGTTGCGATAAAATATTTATGTTATATGAGTTTATAAATTTGGTATGTGCGCGTGTATGTATATGTACTTTTTTCACCGATTTTCGTGCAATATATGTATATATAATAATAATTACAATACATAACGTTAGCACTGTTTTAAAAAGTACTCGAGATTTTTTCTTTAATGAGAAGTAAAACGTTTATTTCTCTTAAGTTATTTTTCCAATTACTTTCATTCATAACAAAATTAATGGAAATATTTATGATAATATCTAAAAAAATATTTATATTTAAAACAATAGTGTTTCAGCAATTAATGTTTTAATTAAGAAAATTAATTCTGCTTATCTCTTTGAAGGAATCTCTTTCAATTAAGAAAAAAATTTTACGTTTATTAAAGAAATAAATTCCTAACGTACATTAAAAATTTTTATATACACACGCGCGCGCGTACACGTATGTATAATTATAAAGTGTGTGTGTGTGTGTGTGTGTTTTGTGTGTGTAAAAAGCTTAAAGTATATACACACACACACATACACACACACACAGCGAGATGCTTCACGAGGACCATCCGTTATATATAAAACCTAGCCACACGACCGAAATCTTTTTCTCTTTTTTATTATTACTTTCGTTATATGCAAAGTATTAATTTAAAAAAAGAAGTAAAAGAAAAGTAAAGATCAGACTTTGTATAAAAAATCATATTCCTTACTAAATGAAAATTCATGATTCATAATTTCTTGATAAATATTCATAATAATGATTGTTCATTTCGGCGAGACACAGATTCTCGTACTGTTTGCGCATGAAAATGATTCTGATGCTAATTATTACATAATTATTTATGTTAATTCCTACGATGTAAAATGTTTAATATTTTACATTTTGTAGAATAGAAAACAGCTCATCAAGTTTCTTGAATAAATATTATAACAATATTTGAAGTTACAATTAATAAAGTAGAAGACAGAGAATAATTGTTTAACTTATTAATTATTATTATTATTCTTGAGTAATAAAAACTGAAAATTTAATAAATTTTCTTGGTATAAATATTATAGTTTATCAAGTTTATTGAAAAATGAACTCTTGTAATAAAACACGATATTAATTATTATAATAATAAACCATAATTTTTGCTGAAGTTTAGATTTTAGCACAAAAATGACCCTTCCAGTAATAAACTTTTTAAGAGTTATTTTTGCGTGTCAAATACGCAAGAGATCAAATATGTCGGAGAGTTTCCCATATGAAAAAGAAAAAAAATAAAAGAAAAAACCGGGAAGTAACGAGCGCAACGCGCGATGCTGTGTTTGTGCAAAATGTGCTTCTGATTTATTATATTGCATGTTAAACATGTCGCTACTACTGTGTATGTACAGTTGAGATACATACGTGTCGATAATGATACGACGATTCTATTTGATGTATTAACTTGTTCCTTGTTTGAACGTTATAATAATATGATAGAATAGTTATATCACATATCGAAGTATATGGTGATATATTATAACCATTCAATGCACTTACCACTTATCAGTACAACAGAGACACACTTATTTCAAATGGTGAATCCGTTGTTCTGTATTTTCTTTCTACTAGTACTAATAGTGGCTATATAATAGTTTACAATTATATGATAAATTGCATGATTATACGAAATATAATAATTGTGATTTTTAATAATTGTGACTACAGTGATATATATATATACGATCTTGATTACGAAGGAAGATTATAACCAAAATTTATAAATATCTCTCAAGAGTGAAAAAGAAAATAATCTCGATTCATCGTCTAATTCCTCTTCGAAAACGATATCAACATCCATGCCTATCCATATTGAATTGATGAAAATCAAAATGATTTAAATATGTATCTATTATAGAAAGAGCCTAAGCGACTTTACTTTATTTTACTATCATATACATAAATCGAGATTATTGTCTTCAGACACGAAATACTATTCTTTTATAAAATTTGTAATTGACAACAAATAAGATTAATATAGTTTTGTTTTCACACTACAGAAAATTTCTAATTTATTTTGTGTGTGTGTGTGTGTATGTGTGTGTGTGTGTGTGTGCGCGCGCGCGCACGCGCGTGTGTGTATATAGAAAGAGCACCTTTTTTTTATAATAACAACAGCGAAAATTAATTATTATATTAATTGTGATGTAATAATGATCAGAAAAGAAAACTTGTTTTGTAATGAAAAATGATATACTTGCAAATGCAATAAAAATAATCTCTTTATATGTATATACTTTGCTATAAAGTAACTTGCTATGGAACAAAACATTTATATATATATATACACACACCACATATACACACACGCGCGCGCGCGCGCGCTATGAATATACACATATATGTACTATTGCATTCGCATATATTTTTCAATAACTGTGTACTGTAAGTGTGAAAGTGTAACAATAGATAAATATATTTATTTACTCACAACGGCAAGATATTTGTGCAATCGATTTTTTATGTCATTTCCCTTATTTGGAAATTTAGTAATAAGTAATAATACTTTTACCACCACATGTATGTATAGTTTTCCATATAGCGTGCTCGACGTATCTTTGAGACATGTTTTGAAAAATATGAAACAGGGTACGAAATACATAGATATATGTGCCATACATCTTGAGACTATGTGTGTGTGTGTCTACATTATATCTTTACACATCATAATAAAGGAAGAGTAAGTAATTTAAATTATTAAAACAGCCAATGTATTTGTAACTTGGGTATTGATTATGTGTATAAATATATATTTGATGCTGAAAAATTTTGCGATAAATGATACTATATATTAATATCAAACTTTTAATGTCTTTATTATTCTTATAAATTGACACTGAATGAAATTATGTTGATCACATACATATATTTGTGAACTTTAAAGAATAAATGCATGGTTTAAAGAATAAATGCAATATTATGTATCTCTGAGTAATTGAAAATTTGTTTGTGTATTATTTAAACAGTGAAATCAGTCCGCCCTACTCTGTACATGCTGATCAATTGCATAATAAAATATGTATAAGATTGATTTTAAAAAAATTACAGAAATTATTCGAATATGAATATTTAGTAAAAAAAGTCGTATTTCTCTAAGTATAATCGAATCGAACATCGATTAATTGATGCTCGTTAAGCCGATTGCTATGATTGCTATTCAGCGGATTCAATTATTGAATTCGCTGAACGCAGCCATTGAATCAATATTATTGCGATTGGTCTATTATTAATCGGTCAATAACCAATGAGCATCTTATGTAAATCATTGGACGCGTTCAAGTTGACAAAGCGGCTAGCCTGCTTGCCGAGCAAATGAGTATAATTGGTTGTTACTTATAGATCCAACCAAACATATTCAATCGCTCGGTAAGCATGCCTAGCCGCTCTGCAGTCTTGAACTCGCCCAATATGGGGACATTGTGCTGGATGCTCATTAGCCTAGCGGTCTTACGTTATGCTTATGCTCTGTTATGCGTTTCATGTGCGACAGGCTTAAAGGGCTTCACACATAAAGCGTCGTTTGTCATAAAGACAAACGTAAAATACGATTAGATGATTTTTTTTATGCTATGCATATGTTTATGCGGCTATGCAAGTTTGTGTGGAATGGCCCTAAGGATATATCCACATAAACTTGCATAGCCGCATAAACATATGCATAAAGCAAATTATCCAATCACATTTTACGTGCGTCTTTATAGGAGAAATACGATTGGATAATTTTTTTTATGCATACGTTTATGCGACTATGCATGTTATGTGAATATACCTTAAGACTGCTGATCAATGAGCATCTAGCATAATGTCGCCATATTTATTTACATAAGATATTCATTGGTTTAGCGGCCTTATGTTGTGCTTATGCTCTGTTAGAGTGAAATCAGACGGTGCGGAAAACGACTTCGGAATAAAGAATGCATCATAGAAGCAACCAATCAGCGCTATTTGGAATAACGCAGAATAGCGCTGAATGGTTGTTTCAATGATGCATTCTCTATTCCGCAGTCCTATTCCGCACTGTGTGATTTCACTCTTATGCATTTTATGTGTCTCGAAGCCCTTAAGACGGGGAGCATAGACTCTTTCATAAAGCATATCACACATAATGCACAAGAAAATCAATCAGTCAATCAATCAATCAGAGTCCTTTATTTTACGGAAAGAAAGGAAATAAAGGACTTTAGAGTATATCCACACAACTTGCATAGCCGCATAAACGTATAAAGAAAATTATCCAATCGCATTTCTTTTATAAAAATATACGTAAAATGTGATTGAATAATTTTTGTCATGCATACGTTTATGCGACAATGTAAATTTGTGTGAATACATCCTATTTAGTTGATTTACTTATGCATTATGCGTTATGCGTTACGCAAAAGTCTATGCTGCGGTCAATAATGTATTTTTATTATGCATTTAAATGGAGTGGATGAAAAATGTTGAACCAATCGCAAATCGGGGAGAAGGTGGCCAGACTCTGATGAGGGTCTCTATAATCAGCATAGGCTACAGATTTTCAGCAATGACGCAATATCATCAGATCTGTTTTCTGTGGCTGATCTAGTGTACATTTTTAGAACTTAAAGTGAAATAGATAACATTTGATATTTGTCGAAAGCGAGAAAGAGAGATCTAGGGTACGGTCAACGCGATGCTGCAAAAAACGCTTTTTAATTGGTCAGTTTGTACAATTCTTTCTTCTAATTAGTCCATCAAAGCATTTGTAGCGAGACTTTGACCATAGCCCTAATGCAGTCTAATGTGGTCTAGTGCAGGAAAAGAAAACTAAATAGACCACAGAACGCACCCAAATATATTTATTGTATTTTATGTGAGGTGGTGTGAAATCAGCAAATCAATTAAAGGTTGATAGAAGAAAAATGTGTTTATCAGCCATGTACATATATATCAGAATATGTGAACAATTTTGTAGTCTTTTGATATTTTGCCGAATGTAATCGGCTAAAAATGAAAATGTATAATTGAATGGAAATCAATATTGATTCGATAGAGACTGAAATGAGTTCTATTCCAGAAATGAGGAACGATGATACACATTACGATACGACAAATTTTTATATCGGCTTAGGACTAGCAATTGCTTCTAGTGTTTTTATTGGTTAGTGATGTGATATATTAGTTTAGTCAGAATTTTATATCAAGAATCAATATTATACACTTAATTTGTACCAGTAATAATATTATTTTATTATGTTTTACCTTGCTTTTGTAAAAAAAAAGCCAAAAATATAAAAAGATGTACAAAAATTAGTTTCTTTGTTATTTTAATTTAGGTGCCAGTTTTATCATAAAAAAGAAGGCTTTAATCCAACTTCAAAAGTACGGTGGACTACGTGCATCGTCTGGTGGTTTTGGCTACTTAAAAGAATGGATGTGGTGGGCTGGTCTTTTATCTAGTATGTATAAATTTCAAAAGACGTCCTAGACACAATTTTTTTATGACATTCATGTAAAAACATTCCAAATAAACATTACAGTGGGCCTAGGAGAAGCAGCAAACTTTGTTGCATATGCATTTGCACCAGCATCACTTGTAACGCCATTGGGTGCTTTAAGTGTTCTGATATCGGCAGTATTAGCATCCAGATATCTTAACGAAAAATTAAATCTTTTGGGAAAGGTGAAAAATACTTGTACAGGCAGAAACATTAATGTTGAAAATAATAGTATATATCTATTCTCTATATACAGGTACTGCATTTTTATTTTTTTTTTCCTTTTTAGATGGGTTGCTTGTTATGTATTTTAGGTTCTATGGTAATAATATTACATTCACCTAAAGAAGAAGAGATCAGCAGTCTAAGCGAACTGATTATTAAAATAAGAGAACCAGGTTATATGTTATACGTTTTAATCGTAGTAATGTCTACCTTGTCCATCATCTTCCACTTTGGTCCAGCGTATGGCAAGCAAAATATCTTGGTATATATTTGTTTGTGCTCATCTGTTGGCTCTTTGACCGTCATGAGTTGCAAAGGCTTGGGCTTGGCATTGAAGGAAACCATCTCTGGTGGAAAGAACGCATTTGCCAATTGGCTAACATGGGTCTTTATATTTAGCGTTATTCTCTGCATTATGATACAGATGAATTATCTGAATAAATCACTGGACTTGTTCGACACATCTATTGTGACGCCAGTTTATTACGTCTTCTTTACAACTCTAGTGATAATAGCATCTGCAATTTTATTCAAGGAATGGGCAAAGATGAACATAGAAAATATCCTAGGTGCCTCTTGTGGCTTTCTCGTAGTTATAATTGCCATATTCTTATTAAACGCTTTTAAAGAAATGGATATACATTATGGCAATATCAGGCACATGTTGAGGCCTAAAAGAGAAATGCTATCGAGTTATAATTCAAGATGGGACGATCAAGGGGGAGCGAACACTAACGTGGAAGCTCAGCACTTGCTTAATCATACTTATGTGAATTCAGATCTCACTAGGACTGTCTAAAAATTGTATCTATGGAAACGCATGTAACCTGCTCCATTTAAAAAATTTGTATAACAAAATCAAGAGACAGATTTAAGAAAAGAATTTATTGTTTATTGATTATTTATTGTAATATTCACAACTAATTATATAATTATAAATACGCTTTGTATTATTGCTGACGAAAACAATACTAGGTGGGGTGAAAAGTAACCTCCTTGGGAATGAAAAAAATTTTTTTTTAAAAATGTTTTTTTATTTTATTCAATGTAGTCCCCTTTTAGGTCGATACACTTATGCCACATCTTTGGGGGTTGGGAAAGAGATAATAACCCGAGGGAGCCAAATCGGGCGAATACGGTGGATGCGGAAGCAATTGGAGCCGTAAATCATTGATTTTAGCCATGGTTGTGATGCTCTTGTGCGCCGGTGCATTGTCTTGCAAAAACAAAATTTTTTTTCGCTTCATGTGAGGCCGTTTTGCAGCGATTTCGGCCTTCAATCGCTCCAATAATGCACAGTAATACTCGCTGTTGATGATTTTTCCTTTTTCGAGGTAGTCCACGAAGAGTATGCCATGACAATCCCAGAAAACCGACGCCATAATCTTTCCGACCCATCGAGCCTCCCTCGGCCGCTTCGGAGCACTGCCGGCTTCAGTCCATTGCTGGGCACTCATTCTGTTTTCTGGTGTGGAATAGTGGATCCAGGTTTCATCAACAGTTACCAATCGACGCCAAAAGTCCGCCCGATTCCGCATCAGCAAGTCCAAACACTCTT